GGGGGGGAGGGTGAGTCACACATAAAGAAAGAAGAAGAAGAGAAAGAGATCTATATCTATGAGTCTGGATTCCGAATGCGGCCGAGTTCCAAGGAGCCTGAGCGTTGGAGCCCAAGCGGGCGGCGTTGCCCAAGAAAGTCGCGTTCTGGTTAGCGGGCGCCGAGGAGGCTGTTCGCGGGCTGTGTTGAGAATGTTGGGATTTGCCCAAGAATGGCTCGTGGCTTCGCGAGCCGACTTTCGGCGACTTGTTCTGGCCAGACATGAAGGAGACAGGCTAATGAAAGAAACACAGGTCAGTCTATGGTGTCCTTTATCAGGCTTAGAAGATCTGGAATGTAAAGAAATTTGGACTGACTTGAGTGGGAAGCTTGTAAGTCATGTTCAATTGATCCATGATCCGCTTCATCTCCTGTGTGCCAAAAAATAACACTTTATCAGCATATGTACATGAGCTTGTTTTCTTGTGCTATTTTTGTTGACCGACCTTCATCAGCAACGTGCGTCGATCCCATCGGGCCCCCCAATCCTGCCAATTACTCTTGTGTTCCATAGCAACAACCAACCTAAAAATATTTGGCGAGGTTATCAGCCTCGCATGTTGAGAATGGTGGACGATGTTACAAGACGTCCAAACGATGGAATGAGACTCAACTGGATCAAATTCTGGTTTTGCATAAAGTCAATGTTGACATCCAATCTGTAACAAACAGAAGATTTCCAATCGTCAGTTCAATGGCATAGTTTGGCGAGCATGGGATGCGCGGATGAGACTGACCCTCCTTTCCATTCACGGGGATGGTCAGTAACAAATTGACGCAAGCGAGTCCGGAATTCGTGCAAAACGTCTAAGGGAGTATCAAAGCTGACCATGACCTTGGTCTTAAAAATAGTTGCAGAAGGAAGTTCAACAGCTGGTGAAGAGTTGAGTTAACGGGATGGAAACAAACCGCTTCCCACATCGGACCACTCCGGCGGACATTGAGGATGTATTTCTTGCCGAAAAGCACCGAGTTGGGCGCCACGATCACTTGCCCATCGCACCGCTGGAACGTCGTCGAGAACAGCCCAAACTCCAACACAAACATCGGGGAGTCGTCTGAGCGGGCGGGAAACAGGGAAAAGGTAATCAATTAAGTATCTTGATTGTTAAAATCGGTATAGCAGATGTTTCTTGTTTCTTACCGATGAAGATCAAGTCTCTCACATCGTATGGATGGATACTGAAGATGAAGAGCATACTCTATTGCAGAGAAAGAAGATGGAATGAGAAAAAAAAAAAAACAGTCAGAGATTTGATCGTTGGAGTACATTGACGGTCCATCTCATTCGCTGCATACCTCAAACAGATTCTTTGCGGCATTACCGAAGACTGTAAACACAGAAAATGTTCCGGATGATCATGATTGTTGAGTTAGTATTATGAGATCCCAAATGTAAGTAAGTTCACAGAACGCACCAAACGAGAATCCAAGGATGATGGTAGCCATTGGGACCAGCTGAGCGGTCGTTCCTTTGGGGTTGAAGATGAACAACCAGATGAAGATAGTGATTAAGAGTGCCAGGCCAAGTAAGACCCTTATAAAATCACCAGCCAGAAGAGCCGAGCTTCAGCAACACAATTCCCATGATTGTCAGGCCAAAAAAGAGGACATAAAAAATCAATTACCCATCCAGTTTCGAAACTGCAGAGGACATGTCCTGGAAACGGGAAGGGAATCAGCACCAGACAGGTTAGAGAGGATGACGAAATTGGTGAAGCAGTATATGCACCTTGAGACTGGTGGCCAAAGCCCTCCTTTCACGATAGATGCGCGAGACAGCGTTACGCATTTCTTTACGGTCGATATCGCCATTGCCGTCTTTATCAAAGACTTTGAACGCCTCGGCGGCATCAGCGGGGTTCTTGAAGTAAGGTTCAAACTCGTCGCGAGTCAAGACCCCGCCCTTGTCCTCGTCCAACCCTTCAAACAGTTTCCGAGCCAGCTTCTTCGCTGAATGGGTGGCTGCATCCAGACTGTCAGTCGAATTACGCATGCCGTCTTTCAGGGTCGCTTGGGCTATCACTTGGGTCAGTTGGTCGGTCATCCGAGACAAATGTGGAGGCCGTTTCTTCTTCTTCTGTACTTCGGCTTGCAGCTCATTGGAAAGTTGTGCAGCCGAGACTCCTTCTGGAACTATTGTTAGATATGAAAAAACAAGAATAAAAAAAATTAGAACAAACGGCATGTAAGTGGTGAATATGATTCAAGTCACTTGCTGGCTAAGCCTGAGGAGTTGGTATGGGGGACCATCGAGGCCATGGGTACATCTACAATGGTTGAGCCGAGGGTCCTGCTTGGTTTTTTCTCGTGCCGAGGGGTTTGGGTTCCAGGCATTTTGGCCGGAGTGTTGCGGCCGGTTGCAGCGCCCGAGCGGGTACCTGGAGTAAAGTTACCAAACATAAAGTGGGAGGACTTCTTCTGCATTTTGGCTGCATCTTTGGCTGCCGCTAATTTGTCTAAGGCGCGCTAAAATTCATACATTTCACGCAAAAGGAGGGAATGTTTGAGGTTAGCAAGAAAGCTTCTGGGTACCCTGTTGATTCAACTCGGCTGGAATTTACCAAAGCTTTGTCGTTTTCTTCCAACCTATCCTGAAGACTGGTCCGGTGGAAGTTTATCTTGACGATTTGGAGTAAGACCTAATGGACAGTAATTCCACGCGAAAACCGTGGATGATGAGCTTCCATAATCGATATAAATCGACACATTTGGGCTTAAATCTCACACCTTCTCTGCTAGTAAGACCAATCCAGTACCAAAGGAAGCAGCGGTAATCTGGATAATAAGGAGGCAGTCGAGCTTGTAATTAGGCACGCAAAGCAGTAAATTGGTCATATTTTTGAAACATACCCTTTCAAACCAATAGAAATACCACAACTGGGGGTCTGCCATAAACGGAAATGTGGGTGAAAACATCACCAAAAGACAAACCCAATACCTACAATAGAAGAAAGCTGAGTTATTTGGATTCTGGACGTGCAACTGCTGCAAGAATGCCAATTGGTTTTTTTTTTGTCTTTCTTTTATTTATGACTGACCCTGTCAAACTCAAAGCGATCTTGGTGTAAGTGCGTACGCCCATCCAAAGCTCGACTTGTGTTTTCAAGTGTTCCGGCGCGGATCCTATAGAACAAGCAAGATAGCTTGATGGCTATGACCGGGAAAAT